GATTCACCCCAAGCTGCACAGTCTCTTTCAAGTCAGTAACAGCCGTCAGTAACAGCCTCGCTTGTACATGGAATCATTTTGAGACCATTTGCGGAATCAGACTTTTGTGTAAGTTCAGAAGTACAACTAAAGTTTGAACTCAATTATAAGTGCCACATTGCTTTAGGTTTAAACTGTTTTTAGTTTTGCCGCACACAAAAAATGAAACAAGATTAAATACAAAATAGAGAAAAACAGAAGTGTACCAAAATCTTATGAAGGAAAAAAAAAAACAAACCTCGCTCCAGAATTAGTGCCTTACCTATCATGATTCAAAACATGCCTTGAAATTTGTCCAGAAGTTTAAAAACCTTTACTCCTTTAAAAATATTATTCTAAAAAAGTCAAACCATAGAATATAAATAGGTAAATGAATAAAGCTGCATTACCAAAGCAGCTGCAGCTATTGAGAATTTCATTAAAGAAAGGTTCGTGTCAGAGTTGATGATGTCACACTTGGCACATTGACGGAGTTCTTTACAAAGTTGTAAAGTTTCTGCTTAGAAAATTTAACTTTAACATGCTACACACACATTGCTACACAAGTTATGCTCAGAGTTAGCTCATCTTAAGTCACTAGAGGGTAATGAGGAAATCCTGTCATCCTGTCACTGAAACACATCAAATATGTACCTACAGAGTTACATGTACACACAATATAATACTCTGTCAAAGTTGTAATATCACATGGCAGGTGCCCTTAGCAAAAAAGACGACGACAACAAATTCTAAGTAAAAGTTATTCCAATTAAGAGCCTACTAGATCCAAGTTTTAATTCAAAAGTAGATGTTTAGCCTAAAACTAGCAGATATCGGTTCGTCAGGATTATCAGTTAAATTGGTTTAAAAGACACGACAGAAAGATTATGCTAGGATTTGGAGCAGCAGCGATACATGCGATGGCTAAGTTGAAGATAAAACTGTGCTAACAATGGAAGATTTCTAAAATCTAACTGTAAACAGCTTGAGATCACTTTATTAGGTCCATTTACGTCTGTCCCCACACAACCATCCAGAAACTTGGTCCAGAAACTTGGTTTATTTGTATTACTAACTTTGGGTTTTCTAGTTGTTCATTTACCTGTATGTTTACTTATTCTGTGTCTTCTAATAGCTAATTTTATTTTTTCACATATTATGCCATGTCTTCAGAGGAACCTTAAATGCATCTACCTGTGCCCTTGATTCCATGGCACTTCGTAGTAGAATCTGGTCTTTGATTTGTCTATGATAAATCTGATCAGCTGGGCTAACTGTACACACAAACATGTATAAAATGAACAATGAATTATCCTAAACAAAATTGCCTAATTTGATACGAGAACAAGGTACTAAACTTTTCAAAGGTAAAAGAGTTTTGCCAGATTTTTGGAAAATAAATTCTAACGGTTACAGTCCCCCTCCCTCAACACCTGAAAGATAAATGGATATTTGAACAAAGAAAAATTCCATAAGCTATAGTGTATTTCTGCTGACCAGAAGATGAATGAAAGCTTACTTTTTTGATAACATAAAAAGCTTGGCATCACATTAAAATACATCCTGTAGGCTTTCTTTATATCAACTATTTAATTTTAGTTAAGAAATTATTACTAAAGAAAAAAGGTAACTTGCCATTAACTACTCTTTGAATCATCATTTCTGAAACATAATATTCTACAAGCAGCTTATAGAATGGACATTTTCCTTTTGACCTATTTCTCTTTTGGTATCCCTTTTATAAGCCATAAGGGGGGAAAAAAAAACCCTTCATTAAATAAAACACCTTTTCTAATGTTCAGAATACCTAAAGCAATAAAACACTCAAACCTCTAATTTGTAAAGAATTTAATTCTCAACGTGAATATACTTTGTTGTAAATTGATACTGCAAGTGCAAAAGCAAAACTGAGAAAACTGAAGCACTTAGAACACATGATTTAATATATAAATCAGCACTCATATTATAGCTTTTGTTCTATTTATTGCTATCTTTCTATTTCATGACTTGTTTCTGTACAATATTCCTCATTATAATATATTCCCATTTTATTTAGCAACACATATACTGTGATTCAGAATTCTATGTTTTCATGTAGTAAATGCATCTAAGTTAATTATTTAAACTTTAAAATCACCAGTATGTAACTAAAATGCTACCATAGCTGATTTTCTTCCTATTCCCTTTAGAATATGCCAATTTGATTTCTTCTACATAAATACTTTCTTGAACTGTTCGACTTCTGTTTTTAATGAAATGAATTCTCCTCCTCTCCGTAGAAGTCTGCTATAAACCTAAGTCACCTGGGAGCGTGGCCAAAGTCTGAAACAGCACAGCTGAAGGGTACAGCCATTTCCCAGGGTCCTCTCAGAGAGTATGTGGTTTGCTTTCCTAACTTGCTAAAAATAGGAGATTACACAGGCTACCTCCATCTCAGGGCTCAAGAACTCACAAAAGGCTGGACTATGGATTGGAGCAATACATAGAACAGATTTTATTAAAGAAGTCAGGATATTACAAGTTTTCTAAATTCCTTCCGTTTACTCTCTGAAACAATACAAATGATCTAGCGGTTACTGGCATGGAAACCTCATAATGCTCCCAAATTTCAGAACTTCAGGCATGAGTCACAGAAGTACTTTAACTGTTTTAAAATATGTTTTTGATCTATTTTAGCCACAAAGTCTAACACAGGAAGACTACTACCTAAAAGGTAGGATTCTAAATACCATATCAAGAATCACATGTTTTAGCTACAAACACACACACATATAGATGAAATATGGTTTTTGAAACATGAATACCTAATTAACACATTCCAAAATTTTTAAATTAATTTTTAACAGAGTCATTTCACTAACACTTAAGAAGCTGCTGTCATTCTGGGGATGAAGCTCCACCAGAAATAAATTGGTGTTTATTTTTCCTCTTCGTATTCAAATTGAAATACTTTACTACATTTTAGACGCTATAAATTAAATTTCCGTTTCTCTTAGAAAGAACAAAGAGCATGGACAACGTTTGCACTGATTAGCTGCTACAAGGAGTTCATTCCAAAAGTAAATTTAAAATCTTAAAATTGTTATTTAAAAAAGTCCTTGATGTGGCAGTTGAATCTTGTTAACCACACAGCATGTCATTAAGCAATGCTGCTGCTTTGCTCAAAGGGGGACTGTTCTGTGGCCACAAGTGAGCAGCAACTAAAAAAATATTTTGAGAGGGGAAAATAGCAACTGAATTTTAATGTTTCACAATGTTTCCAAATGCCCTGGAGGCAGGTCTTCTGTGAAACCACTCAATGTCACAGCTAAGTTTAATGTCCTTCGTTTTTTAGCTACCAGTGCACCATCCCCTGTCTATGGGATTAAAAATTGGATTTACTAGTAATTGGGTCAAAACAGGGTTACTTACGGACAAAGCTGGTTATTGACAAGCATAATTAGCCTTTTGCCCCTCATTTTATGGGTCCCAGTCTCTAATTACACCTAAATTCAGTCGGCAGAATTTAGGATGACATACACGCTAGAACTACTGTGTGCCCTTCGTGGATGCCTTTCAAAAGAAGAGGGAAAAAAAGGCCCAGGGGTAATTTATAACTTTTGTTTACTGATCTTTAGAACTGTGTCATTAAGAACAACCTAACATTATATTTTTCCCATTGTTAATGCTCTCTTTTATATTCTACTTTGAAGATAATATCCTTGAGTCTTTGGTGAAAACTTTAGCAAACTGAGGAGCACAAACTAGACCAAGAAGCAATTTACCGAAATAGTAAACTCACAGCTTAACTCATAACACTGGGGTGAGATGTGAGTTAACTTAAGTGTTGAATACTTCAGTTAATTCTCCCCTATGGTATGAAAGAAAAATGTTTATAGCACTTTTTTTTTTGCATCAGACAACATATGTCTATGAAACCTTCACTTCTATATATTTGTCAAAATGAGAGCAACCTCCTTCTCAAAGGTTCAGAGTAAATTACACCTGCATATTAATATTCAAAGGTGATTTAACTAAACCAAGTATGTACACAGTACCTAGGAATCTTCACATTTGCAGTCTTGACCTTACACATCAAAATAAAGACACGTATGCTATCTTTTAAAAGACTCACTTTCAAACTTGATACCTGAAATACAAATCCAATGGTATTTTTGAATATCAAAATATACTAAAGTGAATTTGCTAGTATTATGGTACCCACAATAGCTAACTTTTTACAGCCTGGCTGATATGTTACAAATAAAAAATAATAATGATCAGGAGCTAACAGAAAATAAACTGCTAAATTACTTCACATTCGAATTTTAGAAACAAAAAGTCCAATTAATAATAGTAGTTTTTATAGAGTTTCCACTGATTTATAAAACTCACATTCAACGAAGTTTATGCCTCTGATAGTATACTATAAGAGCAATTCAGAACCTTACTTCTAGTTATATTTTTCACAAATGCATTGCTTCTGGCCTTAAAATAATATGCTCATATAATAAAAAGGAAATCATAATGTCAAAATATTAATATAAAAAGTCTATCCAAGTTTAGCTGACAAAATCTGCTTTTCTTTTATAACTGTACAGCATGTTTTCAAACAAGCAAAAACAAACCATCCCCATCTAGCCACTGCTGTAGCCTCATATACAGTCTACTCTTATGCTGACACATACATGTATCTATATTTACTATTTCTCTAGACTGACTTAGCCATTACTAAGTAAAAGTATGCTGACACTTTCTGCTCTAGAAAAAAAAAAAAATCACAGCATTAAAGGACAGATAAAAGTTATCATAACAAAGTTTGGCCAGACTTGGCTCTACTGCTTCTCAATAAAGCCCCCCACCCCAACATCATAGATAAGAACACACCGTATAACTAAAACTATTAACAAAGCAATCCATAATTCCAAACTCAGTGGACTGCATGTCCATATCCCCTTTATTCAATTATTGCGTATCCTTAAAATAATATAATATTTACTCACTTTCAATGAATCAAAGCAGGCGATTACTCGTCCATTTTCAACTTGGCAGCTTTTCGAAGGATGTGCAAATTTACATTCCGTGTCTGGCCGTGAGCAAGTCCCCCTTTGGAACTCTCTACATACTTCCAGTGTTAGCCATTTTGTGTCCCGAATTGGTGTGACACTAACAGCCATGTTTAGATTTTACAGGTAGTTAAAATTTTCAGTGAAACCAACAAACCCAACCCCCCTCAAAAAAAAAAAAAAAGTAACAACCAAAAAAAAAAGTGAACTGATAAAACTGTAAAATGATGAAAATGTCCCCTTCAAAATACTTTTCCCCCACTCCCTGCTTTAAAAGTACATGGAAAATTGTGTTCTCAATATCAAGGAAAAGATCTCCCACTAGAAATTCACAGCATGAAACTGTTAATTCAAAGAGGTTTTGGTTTTTAGAGAAATACTAGGATCGTAAGTAGATGAACGTTTAAAAGTAGGGCCTCGAATCAGCCTTGTGCTCTCAATAACCCCTTCCCAGTGCCAATTTGGAGCCCAAAATGCAAGCATGAAACCGTGGCAGACCCTCTGACACCGAATTTCCAAGCTGCTTTCAGCAAAGTTGTCTGAAAGGGAATCTCCTCACAGCTGAATTTGCAATGGAGTTTGGTGGTGCAATCGGTATTGATTAGTTTGGCATAGACAGATGCAGCAGTTTAGAGCAAAATCGAGAAAATGATTTTGTTTTTCCTCCTTGATTTCCTGGCAGAAGATATCTTACTTTTTCAGCAAACTTTTCTTTTAAAACTAAAGCAGCCTAGGGCAATGCCAGATACTTAGAGCTTTTCTCTTGATTATAAGTAGAAATGGGGGTGTCTGGGCTAGAGGTGGAGGGTGGATGTGCTGTCGTCACAGTCTAGCTGGCAGCAAGCAAGGCAAAAGCAGAGACTGCTCTAGAAGCGGTTCCAAGCAGCAGAGACGTCAGGAAAGGCACTTCTTAGTACCAACCTGTAGAAAAAAGAGATAGGTTAAGATTTACTAAGTAGCTCTTCACTGATGTCCTAAGACAGTATCACAACCTTGCCATGTGCTACCAGACTAAGTCATATTCAAGCCAGCCTCCCTCTCTCTCCCTCACACACACGCACGCACACACACACACACACACACACACACTACTTACAGTGAGGCATATTGCAGCCAGCCATCGTAGATTTATTAAAAAAAGGGGCCGTTTCCCCTTGTGAAGCAATGCATGATAGAGAGATAGCCAATCACAGATAGTGTTGCAGCAATATTCTGGGCAGAAAGCCAATAGTGTGGGTTGTCTTATGAAAGGTCGCGCCTGTCAGACGTTCATTACTATGCTATAAGCACAGAAAATGTCCATCAGATGTGACTTATTCCACTGCAAGAGGACGAGCATGTGGGTTTTGAATTTACCCAACATGCAGTTAGTGGACTAAACCATGTTAGTTTCAAAACAGCTTCCCAAACAAGTCCAAGCACTTGAAGATCATTACCAGGAAATAAAAAGCAAGGTTTAAAAACTGCAGCCGACTTCCAAGCTGCTTTCCCTCCGGCTCTGGGCAGGGACAGGCACTGAACAGCCTGCTCCTGCTGTCCCGACACGTGAATAAAAAAGGAAAGGGGTGTTTACAAATGGTACATTCTCCTGACCTATCCAATTCACTTCCTTCTCCAGCCTAAGTCCTGCCCCTCCACTGAAAGTGGCACTCCTACTGTAAAACTATTCCATTCAGCCCGCAGACACTTTGTCAATATATCACAGGCAGGCGAGATATGAACAAAAGCATCCTTTATTTGAGCATTTTTTAAGCAGAAGCTGAGGTCATGTGGGGGAAATAAGGAGGGCAGTGTTGTCGGTGTGTCTGGCAAATCTGAAGTCAACCTCAAGGGAGAAAGTGATTCCAGCGCAGAAACATTAAATATTAAGCGAGCAGTTTGATTTGGGCAGTAGGATGCATTTCAGAGGCACAAATGAAGACAGAGGGTGGGGGTTAGGGGGTGAGGGACCCCCTATTGCCTAAAGATCTCGTAACTGGGCACCACAAGACCCTTCCCTATATACAGCAGGGCATTTTTGCTTTTAACAACTTACTTTCAATCAGAATGGGAAAACTTTCCCAAAAATGCTTAGTAGTAACAGAACAGCATACATATTATTTTTTCCCTTTTGAATGCTACCAAAGGAAACAAGGCTTCAAAAACTCTAGAAGTTTCACACTCCAAAGAGGCAATAACAGTATAATAAATAGCATCTGATTACTTCTTCTAGGGCCAAAAATGGCCAACGGGCATGTAAGATATTTATAACTTGGAAATTAGAACACAGAATATGAATATATAGACACATACATATAGATAAAACATGGATACTTAGCAGAATTTTTATTAAGATTAACACTGTCATTTTTAACATTATTTTTTTTAGAAACTACCAGAAACTAGGTTTAGAAAATATTGTAAAGGTCACAACTTTTGAAAAAGATTTAAAAAAAAAAAAAACAACTCATACTGATGCTCCAGAAGTATTTTTTGTTTTCAAAAAATTTTCTAGTCCTATTCCTGGTTCCGTAAAAACAAAGCCAAGTTAGTCACAAACTCTAAGACTTCTTCACCTTCCTTATTATTTGCTCTGCATTCAAAGCTTCTTGACGCCATCATGCTGTGAGTACGTGCCACATCTGTGGCCAACACCTCTTTTGTCTTTCTCTCTGCAACCACGACCTCCGTTTCTTTGGGGTCCTGCTCAGTTCTGTCTGACTCTTTGGGACCCCACAGACTGTGGCTCGCCAGGCTCCTCTGTCCACCTAATTATCCTGGGAAGAGTGCTGGAGTGGGTTGCCATTTCCTCCTCCAGAGGATCTTCCCGACCCAGAAATCGAATCCCTGTCTCCTGCATTGCAGGCGGATTCTTTACCACTGAGCCTCCTGGGAAGCCTACCCACATGTCACTTCCTCCAAGAGGCTATCAAGATGTCACTTCCTTCATCCCCACCCACCCACATAATAACACTGCCTCCTCCCAATTACCTCTGCTCCCCAGTCAGTGTCTGATTGGCATTTATATGACTGAGCCAAGAGAAGACATGTTCCCAAGGCCAGAAACAGCCTTACACATCTTAGCAACCTTAAGTGTCTGGTTTAGGGATGGAAAACAGATGGAGCCCCATAACTTTGGTAAACTAAATGATCAATTTCTATGTCAGAACTGGCATTAGCACAAAAATACAGAAACACACGCAAGAACACAGCCCTATAAACACACATGAACACGCACAGACACAAACTTGAAAACACACACACATCCCCATCACCACCTCCGTAAGCTACTGTGTTCTGGGGTCCCTCAGGTTTCCCACTGCCTAGGAATCCTCCCCTCGGCCTGGACCGCGCCCTCTGACACTCCAGCTTTTCTAAAACTTCCTCACTGTCAAGTCCCCCCTCCTTTGGGTTCTTCTCACTATCAACAACGGACACAATCCTACACGTCACAAATATTTCATCATAAAAGTAGTAGCTCTCAGGCATGAACTCTCGCTCAGCTTCCTACCACCCATCTTTAAGCTATCTTTTTGTATCTTCCTTCTCAGTCTCTGAGTTTTCTCTCCTACTGCCCAAGGTTAAGCTGCTACCTTGACTGGCTGCTTCTTAAATCCGCTTCCACTCTAAATTCCTGATATATATATTCCTGCTTTTCCTCTTAGCTCTCAAAGCGCTAAAAGAGCTCCAAGATGGAAGGGGTGACATGGCGGGAGGAAGGGGACCTTGCTGAGTTATACGTCACCTCTCCCTGATGTTCCGAATCCAGCATTCCCAAACAAAAGTCTGAAGAGTCACCTACACGTGCTGTTTTTCTTGCTTCCTCCTCCTCCACTTTGCTTTTTATTCACTTTTAAAAATGTATCGGTGTAACCTGCACAACTATTGCCTTACTGCTCAGCGGCAGTCATCAATGCTCCCATCAAAGCCAAATCTAAAGACTGCAGAGTCGTGTCATTACTTGACCTCTTAACAGCAGGCACAACCCCCTCTCCCTCCCTTCCCCTTGTTTTAAACTGACACATTTTATCTTTTTTGGTCTCTCCCAGCCCTGCACCTCTACCTTCCCAGGGAGACAGGGACTGTGGGTTCTTAGCATACACCATCCAGGTGGGAGCCTCTGAAACTTATTACATGCTTAAACCTTTGGATTGACACATACTTCCTCATCCCTTCTTCTTGTCTAAACTGCTATTCAAATATCTCCTTCTCTAAAAAGGCTATGCTAACTCTGCTAAACATTCTACCCCCTCACAATATTCTCAGTACTTTGTATCTCTTGGAACTTTTGTCCCCAAGGTTATAAATTCCACAACAACAGGGTGTTTATCGCCACTTTTTTTTTTTACCCAGTCCCTGGAACATGATGTTTTTGAAATGTTTAAGACAAAAATAATTTTCTTCAACCTATTAGAAATACACGTTTATGAGGACATGTGTCCAACCCCCAGGAAAACTGCATCATGATCTCTGAGATGCAAACAATGAGGAAAAGCAAAGGCGTGGGACACAGAGGAATAACTTCACTGCTTGGGGGTTATATCTAAACACAACGACAAAATTCATTTCTAGCGTCGTTTTCCCCTTCTACCACGTTACAGACTTAGTCATACTCAAGCAACAAATTATACCTTAATTACTGAAATGCTTACAAATGGCTGTTCTGATTGTATTTTCTGTAGCAGAGCAATTCTTTAAAGTCAAAAAGTATTACTGAAAAAGTAGAGCTCTGTTATTTTTAAGCTGAAAATACTATTATAAAATGTATTAGTCAAGGTGATAATCAAAATATTTACAATTAGCAGGACATGGACAAGTGAGCGATCAGATGGTACACTGACCTTTATGAAATACCCCAGCTACACCTGATAATATGTGTTTCTGCCTTTGACGCAGGGCGCTGGGGGTAACGAACTCATATTTTATCTGAAAAAAAGGTATTTGAGTAAACTGCTGATATCAGAATGCTATCTTGTAATCTTTTGATTTATTCAAACATAATTTCAAGGAAGACCAGAAATCTTCATAACTTTAACAAATTAAGATTTTATAAGATTTGGATCAATACTTCAGTGGTAATGGATTTTTTGTTCTATAGATAGAGATACTATTTAAATGTGTATGGGTATTGT